TTATGCTCTTGTGGAAAGAATAAGAAACTTCTGATACATATCCATATTCTAATACTCACAAGATCTGAAATTTTATAATTAGTAGAAGGTTTACAAATACTTCCTTACTGTTCACTGTCAGACTAGATGACACACATCACTATTATCTTACTTTGCCTTTCCATTTTTTCAAAATGGATTATAAGAATGTTAAAGGCACATGCATGCCACATAGTCATTGCTAGACAGAAGACAGACTTCAAGCTCATGCGCATGTAGCACACTTTACAGCAAATCATTAGAATCTGGAAAAGTCATGATTAAGAAAACTGCAAAGGTTTATTTTTAAATTGTTGGAATTTTAAACATCACCATGGAAATGCCTGAAATGCTTCAGAAATGTTGCATACTAATTTCTTCTGGTTTCCAACACATTCTTCTCTAGTTACCCTCACCTTTTCCAATACAGGTAGCCAAGATGTAACAAGATGCAGGTTCTTTAAACACAGCCATTCTCCGTTGCGTGCACATTCTTTTAAAGTTTGAATAGCCAAGTCAGCTTGGCCTTGGCCCATTGCAATCTGAAATGAGAAACACAGTTGCCTCAGTTATTTCTTATACGTCATTTAACAGCTAAATACAAAATTGTGTTTTCAAATTAGAATGTATATGTAAAAAAGGTGTGCTAAAGATAACCAGAATTTTCTCTAATGTGATAGGCTACTAAAGTAGGGAAAATACTAAGGAAAACAGTTTTTTCTTTGCAAACGAACTGAAGTTTCTAAACAAACAACATTACCTAGCCTTTTTACAGAAAAAAACATACATCACTTGGTGACACTGATGCTATTCCCTAGGAACTGAAAATGTAATTTAAATATCAGTGACAAAACTCTTATTACTGCAGAACTGCTGACACAATAAAATCAAGAGATGAATGAGAACAAATTTTCTTTTGACTGTAAGTTAGGAGCACTTCCTTTGAAGAGAAACACTCAATTTCATATTAAGATGAGTGAAAAACTAAGGTTGATCTCTTTCCAACTGGGAAATACAAATAGCTTAACAAACAGTCTTTTCTTCAGTATTTATAGAACCACATTGCTGCTAAAATTAATTTGAATCTTCAAATGGAAATTCAAATATCCAAAACTGAATTTTCTGATAAATTACAGAAAATTGAAAATAAAGAAAGGAATTGTTCTGTGGCACAATTACTGCAATAATTGATGTTAGACTATCTGTAGAATACATTCACCTTAGTTCTTCCTTAGAATCTAACTGTAAGCTTTACATAACAAAAAGCCCTGAACCAAACAAGCTGAAAAGACAGTGGGTCTTAGCCAGTCTGAAAAGTCTTGTCTTGGCATTTCTGCTATAGCAAAACAGAACTACTGTGATTATTATGACTTCATCAAATATCCTTTAAGAGGAAATGCATCCTGTCTTTTTATCCTAAAACTGAACTGATTCAAAGAAACTTGGGGTCTTTATACGATGATACAGAGATATCCTCCGCCTAAATAAAACTGAGTATAATACCTGGGAATAATTTAAAAGAGCCAAAAGAAGAAAACTGAACGTCACCAGACAATATGGTAGTACACCACACAAATTTAGTGGTCTATTCTTTATCCCATATGAGAAATGATTCAACAGAAAAGAAAAATCTGATCTTCTATGTTCTACTCAAATAAGAAAGTGCAGGAAAAAATAATAACAAAACATTCTCATTAGTAGGACAGCTTTCAGATCATTCAGCTTTGAGTACCGCTGCTTAACTGAATTCCATACCATGCTACATTTTAAAAGTCCAACATGTAAAGGATATTTAGAGAAACACAAAAAGCCATGTAGCAGAATAAGAAATATGGTAGTAGGATCTGCATCTTTACAATTCGATGGGAAAAAATTCATTACATCAGTGCACGTTACTTGACATTTTCCATTTCTATGCTAACCAGTGATCAGCTAGATAACAACTCCCCTCCTCTGAATATTTCAAATGACAGAAGGAAATAATGTTTTACAGAAAGGTGTAAAGCATATTGGCACTGTGTATTAGGAATGTTAGGAAACCACTTGCATCATAGAATAATTTGAGTTGGAATGGATCCTGGAGGGTCTCTAGTCCATTCTCCTGCTCAAAGTAGGCCCAACTATGAAAGATCAGACCAGGAGTCAAGGGCTTTGTCCAGTGGACTCTTGGGAACCTCCAAGGATGGAGACTGCACCTGGAAACCTTCTTTCCCAGGGCAGGAATCTGCATTTCCTGAATTCTGTAAGGTTCCTGACATCCAAGGAAAGCCAAGGAGAGTTGTGAGCCCATTGCTCGGTGAGGCAGGGCATGTAGTGACAAGGCACACGGAAAAAGTTGAGGTATTCAATGCCCTTTTAGTCTGAGGTTTCACTGCTGATGCTTGTTCTCAGGCTTCCCAGGTCTCCCAAACCTACAAGCTGGAGTGAAGCAATACCCACAGTACAGACAGAGAGATGGGATGCATCCAATAGTGCTGAGGGGCCAGCTGATGCCACTCCTTGTTCTCATTTTCAAAATGTTTGAAACAGACACAGAAAATATAAAGTGATTTCTTAACAGTACAATTCAGATTAAAGTCTGCTCAAAGTGAATTCTCTTCATTCAGTTCAGTTTCGCATTGAATCCAAAACTGGGAACAAGTTGTATACCACGACAAAAAACAACTGTTATATTGGCTGGGTAAATAATGGCAGTGTTGTATGTCTATTCCTGAAATCTGAGGGCTCTCCTGCATGGTCGATCCTAAACACTTTTTTAAAAAGACTTGAAATATGAGAGTTCTGTTCAGGAACTTCCATCAACAATCAATTGATTAACATTTACTTGTAAAATTTCTCAAAATATTTTACAGAATTTCACAGAATATCAAAGTATTCAGAAACACTGAACAATTGACTTATGTTTTCTGTTGAAGAAAGAAATATGCAAGTCCCATAAGCAGAGGAAATTATAAAGTCTAGTTTTCAGTGGGTTTTGTTCATATTTCGATTACTCCACACTAAAAAATAGAATGTTTCAGCCATGTATAACAATTCTCCGTCTCTTTTGTTCTCTTCCATCTATCTTCTCATTTTTCCCTTCTCCACGTTGGAGGAATGCCTCTCGTGTGGATTCTGCTTCTGTGAGGATCAGTAACTCTGTCTCTCTTCAGCCCATTTTGCCAAGGATCAGAAGTTAGCGGAAAGATAGGTGGGACCAACAAACACACAGACACCAAACTATGCTTTTACATACTAACTTCCTTAAAAAAAATAAGGTAAAACAGATATTACTACTGTAAAATTTTACACATTGTGGTTTTTAATCAGTATGCTTATCTAAGACTGACCTGATGGTAGCAATCGGTATCTCTTTCAACACTGGCAAGTTCCTGCAACTCTTGAGAAGGATCAGCACCAGGAGAAATAATTATCAAGATGGGCTCAATCTCCAGCGTCTCTTTATACAGACGTTTCAAATTCAGAGGCAATGGAGATAAATCTTTAATTCCTATAATTAGAATTAGAATTATTATGGAAATAAAGTGACTACACAGGATGGGGTGTTTTATTAACCATTTTAGAGGTCACCTAGCTGTCAAAGTTCTGTCCCACTGAGACCATAAAACAGGTCCTACAATGAGAAAAAAATAGGCAGCTAGAAGGCACCCTATATTGATAAGAAAAAGACAAGCATCATAACAGTGCCTGGTCTTCCAGCTTGACAAATCATAGAACCATAGAATCATAGAATGGTTTGGGTTGGAAAGGACCTTAAAGATCATCTAGTTCCACCCCCCCTGCCATGGGCAGAGACACCCTCCACTAGACCAGGTTGCTCAAAGCCTCATCCAGCCTGGCCTTGAACACCTCCAGGGATGGGGCATCCACAGCTTCTCTGGGCAACCTGTGCCAGTGTCTCACCACCCTCACAGTGAAAAATTTCTTCCTAATGTCTACTCTAAATCTACCCTCTTTCAGCTTACACCCGTTACCCCTTGTCCTCTCCCTACACTCCCTGATAAAGAGTGCCTCCCCATCTCTCCTGTAGGCCCCCTTCAAGTACTGGAAGGCTGCTACTAAGTCTCCTCGGAGCCTTCTCTTCTCCAGGCTGAACAACCCCAACTCTTTCAGCCTGTCCTCATAGGGGAGGTGCTCCCATTACAGGGAATTAAGTCATCTATGGTAAAACAGAATCATGATGAAAGTACCCTCTCAATCTACTAATAACGTTTGACAGAACAGGATAACCTTACTCCTGAAAATATCAGCCCTGGTGGCAGACATGGAACCCATTTTGACCAACAAACAACGTCCACAGACAGAGCATAAAGAGGGAGTAAGATAAACTCCCATACAAACGTCATTAAAAATGTAAGAATTAGAGACCTAAACTTGTATCTAATGTTGTACTAATAAGAAGTGGCACACATGTCAGGAACTTAAAATTACCACAGTTGTCCTTTTTATATGTAACTAACTCATCGATTGCATTATCGTGCAAAATCACCCATCTCAAAATCATTCTAATTGCATAACTTCACAAGTACTGGAAATGTAAGTCCAGCCATACTACCTTGTCAGCCTATGAGACAATCTTCCAGATGCATTTTCTACCACACTAAAAACAGCCTTTGCCACTTACATTTAAGATTTTTACAATCTAGATCCTTTCCTTTCTGTTAATCCCACTTCTGTCCTGACACTATACATTAAAAACAACAAATTCTGCCTTGTCCCTATGTAACGCAGAGAGTGGCTTTTAAAACTACGTCCACCCCAATGAGACATACATAATTAATCTTCCACATGTGTATTGCCATTAACTGATAAAAACTGAAGAAAGGTTTTGCTGTGCTGTATTGCAACATTATTTGGAATATAAATACCAAACTTTGGATACAACAAACCTCAGAGAGAAAACAGACAGACTAGAATAAACAGACAATCACAGTATTGAATCACTCTAAATCATGTGTATTCCTAGACAGACAGTATCACAGTCCAAGAAACTGACAAAAATGACTGAAACTACGAAACAATCTTTTGAGATCCAGTTTACAAAATCTCAAACCTAATGTTTTTTAGATAGCAAATTACATTAAATGAGATCTTTTTTTTGTAAATTTGTATCTTAAGGAAAATGCTGCAGTGTAAAACCCACAGAAAAGCAGCTATCCTCCTTAATTACTCCAGTGTTCAGGAATTCATTAAAAGAATCTGACAGATCTTTTTTTATATTTTAAATCACTATGCAGCATAAACCAAACCATTTTAAAAGCAATTTTTAATGATACAAGAACAAAATCCATTTGCAGCAGATTTTCAAATCCTAAAACTTAGGGATTCCATAAGAACTATAAAATAAAAGAGAAACAAAGGACAAAAATTATCTAATTGTTGTGGGGAAACACCTTGGTGAAAAATTGACTTACCTAGGGTTTTACATGCAAAAAGAGCCATGGCACTCTGTAGCCTGTCTGGTCGGACAGCCTGGACTGCAAGTACCTTAAAATAAAATATACTCAGGGGAGATGAGTTTATAAAAGTATATTGTGACAATTTAAAATGCAAGACTCTTATAATAAGGCTGAATTCTTTAAACTTCTCTTTAGAACAAAGTTATCTTCTCTGAATATCTGATCATTCCTTTCCAAAATAATCTAACGCAATTTTTCTTTTGTAAGTAGCTTGTCCTATTAATAGAATCAGAAGATGGATCTACATCTAATATCTATTTGTAAGCTGAAACTTTTTCTACGTGTTTTAGAAAAAAGGTAGCTATGTGTGTAGCTAGAATGACAGAAAGGAAACAGCTTTATATTGGTCATCTAAATTCTATACTTGTATTTAGGCAGTAACTTCCTAACTGGAATACTAATGTTTCTGATTTCAGTGCCTTAATACAGGAAAATCATAATTTTTGAAATAATTTCCTTTGTTTAAGCACACCTTTGGAATTTCACATCTAACTTCTTTTTCTGAGACATTCTGGATTTCAAACCTCCTAGTTCTGCAAATGCTTTTACTGTTCTTCAAAAGACTACAGAATATGAACAGCTATCAATTCAGACATAAATTAGCAGTTTCCCCACCAGCTACGACTTTTTCAGTTAACTTCCTGCAAACATTCAGTACAGTCAACTAATGCAACTTCAGTAGAAATGATTTGTTAAAATCACCACCTCTTCTCCTACCCACTTACTGGCAGACCTGTAAACCACAATTCTAAACCTACCATCACATTCCAGTTCCCAAGTCTGGAATATCCGTGTTAGTTTTAGAGGACAAATTTAACTTAATCAAATTTTTAAGAAAATATGACGTTTTAAGCTTGAGATTACACTAAGTGCTACTGCACCATTTTTAAGTTCAACATATAGTTCAAAAGAAACTAATTTATCAGTGGCATATAAACCTAACCAGGTAGTTTCAGTATATCTCATCAACAGAAAACATTCTTAATACTTTCTGTGCAAGAATCTAGATACATAATATGCTGATCATTCCAGACTTATTTTCCTATAAATGCATATTTTTATGATGACACACTGCACACATAAGAATTGCTCTTCTGCATTTCATCAAATCAGACATGACTCAGAAAATTCCCTTCCAAAATGGTTTGCTTCTAAATTCTATGCGTGCTATTCTAGAAATTCTCCTCCACAAAAACTCCAAATAGAGAGCCAACCAGCATGAAACCACATGGTCTTATACCCCATCCCTTCTTTGGACGGGCCTTCATACTATATGAAGTGACTTCAAATGAAAAAGTCACATCATCATTTGAAAGTAACAACATCCTTTCTTCCATAGACACAGGAGGGATGACATTGTTCTCTTCCAAAGGAGAAGAATCCCTGATCCCTGGGTGGAGGAAGGAACTTACCTCTCCAACATACTTGGTGAGTTCTTTAATGAGCAAGCTTTCAGAAAGAGAAATATTTCATGACTACTATTCTAAAAAGCATGGCTGCTACTATGTTTTGTGGTTTTCAGTCAGATGTGTGAGATTGCACATTTAATGATGTACCAAATCAATGATGCTCAACAACTGACAAATTCTACACTAACAAAGCAACAATGAAAAAATTGTAATACCTATTAATAAAATTAATTCAGTGAATATGAATAGAGAGCTTGTTACCTTACAGGGTGTGCTCAGTTGCTACCAATACACCAACACAAAAAAGACTCAGATAAGAGAGAACTAAATATGTATTATAGAAAAAAAAATACTTAGACTAAATAAACTAGTTAAGCTGTAAGACAATAGTAAGTACTGTCACTGCTTATAATTCTACCACACCTGAAGCCTAAATTACCAAGATACAAAACTTACTTTCAGTGCTGAACTCATCATTATTTTTAAATAATTTAATATGAAAATATTACCTGCTGAAACAAGGAAATTCTTTTTACAATAGTAGATGGAAAGTCTTGTTCACACACAGAGCTCTGAGAAAAAGCGTGCCACAAACCTTCATCTTCAAAGCAAAGTGTCTGATAGAGACCTGGGAGAGAAATCTACAAAACAAATAATGTCTATTTAACCATAAAGAAGAATAGCTATTTGGACATTGTATATTTTAATTAATTTCCAAATACCACTATGACAGGTAAATGTCTGTGCATATCACATAATTCAATTTTATCCTTGGAGTTAAAGAAGAAAAGGGTAGGTTTTAAAATTAACCATTTGTTTACCTATTCCCTGGAAATGCTCAGTCTGTATTTTTGGTTTTAAACTTTGGACTCTACACAATTGTAGTCCTTTCCTTTAATCATGACCAGGATCTTTTTCTATCAGTATATGCTACTGATTCAGCCAGTTACTCACTTCCTGTTTGGTTGGCTGTTTTTTTAAACCCCTAACAATCATGCTTTTAACACCATTATTGCAATTGTTCCTGATTCCTGGTAAAGAGAAATGAAAAATAACGAACTCTGGAGTTAGCAGCAAAAGTCCTTCCCTAAGACCAGTCAAGGTTTTCCTTCTTGCTGCTGAGCTACATGCAGAAGGAGAAAAGCCTATGACAGATTTTGAAAGACTAGTATTTTCATTTAGTTCCCTTCAGGATCAGAGGACTGCAATACTGACTGTTGCAGGATGAATCAAAGCAAGAAAGTTTTTCCTGTTTTAGTTTGAAATTACTTGATCTGAGCAATAACAAACTGAAATACCTTTAAAGATGTGCATGGAAATCTGATAAATAGAAAACTATTTTCCAAATTAACAGTTTATGTATTTCAATACAATATGAAGTAGCTTGTGAAAGTCATTAAATAAGAGAAACCTGCAACTTATTTTTTTGAATATTTCCTTTGTACATTTTTCTATCTACAGAAATTGTAGTACCTTGGGTAGGCTTACAGTATTTTCCAATCTCAGTAACATGACAGATTCATTCACATGCACTGACATTCATTGTTAGATGGGGTAGAGATGGACATGAAAAGGCTCAGAAAAATGAGATGATACATAAAAAAAAAACGTTATTTTTTTCAAGTGGTTATATATTAAGCCATGGTTTCTGGAAGATAGTATAAACAGTTTAAAATAACAAAATATTTCTATCTGACAAACACATATTTGAGTATTCAATTCCAAATTACTATTTGTTAAAACCAAAGGCCTTTTGAGTTAAATTCAACCCACCACATGATGTATACCTTCAAAGATGCTACTGCCCAGGCTCGGTCCTGTTCTATCCAAGAGGGAATCTGGTCACGAACACTTCTTTGTGAATCCTTATTGAAGCAAGTTATGTCACACACATAAGTTACACAAACTTGTGGAAACACCATATTCAATAATAAGATTGTGAAATCCATGTTTTTAATAAAAATAGCTTTCACAACAGGAACCTTTTTGTGGTCTTTTGCCAAGTTCATAAATGGCATAAAAAACCAAAAGCTAACAATGATTTAAATTTGAGATACACTGTTCACATTAACATTTGCTTAACCACTTGAGCCTGAAAATATTTTATCATTTAGAGTCTCCGTATGACACACTCAACTTTAAGTACTTTTCCATTAAAAACAAGGGACTCCCATGACTGGCTATGTGCATATGGACTGTGAGTAACTGACTTCAAAAAATAGCTCAATTGCACATATTTGCAGTCATGAAGAAGATGGTTCTTCACACAAAGGGCAACTCAGGTAATTCACTAGGCAAAGCATAACTTCTGGACATCTCTGCACTGATAAAGTTTGGACACAGCTCTATTTTTCAACTCCTTGGAGATGGAGGAAATTCTAAAGGATGAATAACATAGCTTAAGCTCTGTATTCTCTGTATTACTTTTTATTAAAAAATCTTACAGTACCCATTAACCAGTCTGACAGTGTCCGTATGGAAATGTACTTGGATTTGTCAACACTGACCAACTTCAAGAGAAACCTTAAATGCTCAGCAGAAAAAAAGAAAGCTTTCTTGTGAAAGGATATCTCAGCCATGACTTGTGAAGTCTGAGAAAGAACAAAAGTAGGAAACTTGGAAGCAATTGTAGGAATAAACTCGAGATGGGTCTGCAATATACATTACAATTACAATTTGGGCTGAATCACATATGTCCGCAATTTTTCCAAAATATACAGATTGTGTCTGTTAGGTGGAGTAGAGGTAGGACTCGTGTTAAATTCCATTATACAATCAGATCTCACACAGCTTGAAATGACCTACAGCAAGGAAATACTTCACAATCACCAAGTTCACTGACACTTAATTGAATTATAAAGACTCCATAGAGTTGAAGAAGGACTTCTATATTCACACTGAAATGCAAAATCTGTAGTCATCTAACAGCTACAAAAACTGTGAATCTAAGGATCTTTTTAGAAACCAGATGCTAAGCAACAAAACCCGAGTAATACATTGTGAATCAAGTGACTTTCCACTTCTGCCAACACGCATGCGAGCCCAGCTGATGTCATGGATATTCTAAAAACAAGGTACTCATACTGGTCACTGTCTTGTAACACTGGATGTACAAGATACCCTGACAAGTCTAAACAAGGTCAAAGGATAAAAGTAATTGTGAATGATGAAAACTGCAGTTAAGCCTGATGGAAATGAGCTAGCCTGAACGAAGGAGAAGAGATTAGCAAAAGAGGAAGCAAAGACTGAGCTCATGATTTCTGACTAGTCTCATGTTTCCTAAAAACATCTTTCAAAACCTTTGTCAAAATAGTTTGTTCAAAGAAGGGTCATAATGGATAAGACTACAGAAAGTCTAGCTTTTCTCTACCCTTTTCTACTGGAAGGTTATTTTGAAAGTATACAGATTCAACAGAATTGAGGGGCACTTAGTAAACTAAAGCATAATTGGTCAGGCAGGCAACAGAAGCTTCTTAATCTAGCTCTGTCACCTGGGAAGATATATAAATACATCTCCAGATGTAGAACTCTGAGGATGGTGAAAACACATGTCAAAGTCAGCAAAGTGTGTGGACAATTCCATCAATCCATACAAAAAGTACAACTCCTATATGATATCGGGAGAAAGAGGTATTCAGAAACACTGATTTTAGTTACAGAAGAGGGCTTAAAACCTTCTCAAATGTACCACTGAAAAAAACAAATTGTAAACCTGGTAACAGAAAAAGAAAAAAAAGCAACAAAGACAAAAAGTTATGTAAATTAGAAAATGAGCTGTCATGTTCAAAAAGTTCAAAAAGTTTTTATATTATATGTGAGAAGTTGTTTGTTCCTTTAATGTATAAATACAATTAATTAACCAATATAGTAAGAATACAACTTTAACTTTTCAGGATTTAAGAAAATGTTTCTTTTTTCAAAATACACAAATAAATGTAGCTTACTGATTTTCTTATGGTATCTCCAATGATCACACCTGTAAAAGTCTCCCATTCCTAGGGGGAATAAATGAACAACTCAGACAAGTCACAAGACATCATTAAGAAAAAAGATTAACATGTAGTAGCACGTAGGCAAAACAGGAAGATAAACAAAGCCTAGATTCTGAAAAAGTTATAAGACATTTTAAAAAGCTAGCTAATATTACCAGTGCATAATTCCTTTCACAGAATCCAAGCTAAGGGACTGCAGTGCTTTCTAAGAAAAAGAAACAAAAAGAGAAACCCTGTCCTTTCGCAGCTCCTACAGCTCCCACCCATACTGCCCAACTATAAAGTAGCAAGAAGTAACATACGTAGCTGGCAAGGACACACATACTGCCTGATAGGGCATCAGCAGCCCACATAGAACAGGCAACTACAGAATCCATGTTTCAGTAGTGTTTCATGGTATAGGATCAAAGGATGCAGTTATTAGAACAGGGGTAATACTTAATGTAATAGATGGGTATTATGAATGCAATTCGGTTGCACTAAGAAAGGAAAATATACGTTGAATTTATGTATGATTAAATCTTTTAGAACTTGGCATTGGTATGCAGGGACACAGCTCTTAATCATTTTAAAACAGATTAGATAAGTATTTAAAAACACACTAGAAATTACATAATCCCGTATTTGGAGGTGGTAAGCAATATACTAAAAAATCTCCATAAGTATTTCAATTTTACATAATCAGTGTCTATAACTCTTTTATAAAGTTTTTTTTTGTTAAAGACAATAGTAACATTCCAAATGAAAAAGTCAATCAACCAGTACTACTCTGATATACAGACCACAGCACAGCTTTTTGCACCCATCAATCTAGTTGACTCTTGAAACAACTCTCTTTCAATTACAAACTGATGCTCCTCTCCTAATTACAAAGAAAATGCTAATGCACAGAAAAATACATGAAGGCTCCCCAGTTTTAAAACTATAAACTGTGTAATATTTTATCAAGAAAAGAAGAAGCATAATATGTAGAGATACGTAACACTACCCAAGAAAAATCTATACATATTGATTCAGAAAGAAAACGTCTTTTCCAAGAGCCAAAGCATTCCACAGTATCATGTTGAAGTTGTAAAATAAATTTCTCATTACTATGCAAAAAATTCATAAGTACAGAAGGTTGAACTCTTTTGGGACAGAGACTTAGAACACTAAATTCTCTAGCAACATAATAAGCAACTTCTAGCCTCATCACATTAAAAGCTTTAAAAGCAATAACTCTAAAAGAATAACCACTTCAGCTTCATTTTCTTCAACAAATACTTTCCTCAGGCACACTTTTCTTAACAATTTAATTAAAATAGCTTCTACCTTTCAGACAAGTAAAAAATTATTGATATTATTTGCCTGTTCCAATTCTTGAATACACAAATACTGCAGGAATGTGCATTATATGTAACCTAAATGAAGCTGGTTAAGAGCTCTAATAGCTGATGGAAATGCATGCTAAACAATAGCAACCAACACATAAAGCAGCACTTATAAGTACTTAAGAAGCCCAGGCAGCCAAGCTTGAATTTAGTCAGAAAATGATTTGCAAGTTGCTGCCTTCATGACTTGATAAAGTCAAGGGCTAGAGAGATAAAGGAAGATATTTTCAGACATTGAAAAGAAACAATAAAGATGAATTAGGGAAGTTCTAATAATGAAGAGCAGTCAGGGTATGCCTTTACCAACAAATAATTTGAGTTATTTTTATCAGGTAGCCGCACTGCTGAAAGACTGGGATTTCACTTGTTCAATCCATATGTCTGCAATGAAACAACATTGCATTCATAACATCAAAAAGTTTCAACCAACCTTTCTTAAACCTTGTCCCTTAAACTAACATCCTTCATATAATCAAATTCCATTTCTCCCTTCAAGTGTATTATCTGATTTTTACCTTCTACCCTATAATGGACTCTCCTCTAGCAAACTGGCATTTACTACCATTTGATACTCCTCCTGGTCTCCAGCTTCTAGTACAGAAAGCCATAGCTTTGTCTCTCCATTCCATGTAGGTATTTTAGATAATTAAATGTGTCTTGACTCATGCTTATCAGCCACGTTTAAGCAATTGTATTGAGTCAGTTGTGTACATTGTTCTACTACAGGCAGATTAATTTCACTGCACTACAGACAAGTATAACTTTGGCATCTGCATCTCAGCCAGCTAGCCTAGTCTGCCTGTAAGGGCAATGGACAGAAGTAAGCAATTTTAGCGGTAAACCACCTGACCCATTTTACAAAATTCATTTATGATTAAACTAATTGCTTCATTGACAGGTCTGGTTTTTAACTATTTCCTACAAAGACAGTCTAGGATAACCTCCTCAGATGAATTTTAACAGGTGTTTACATTTTAGTTACCCATTCAATCACCACTAAATGTATGATTTTACCAGAAACATGTAAATTCACTATGAACCTCTGTGTTGAGGAAGTGCATTATTTAACATCCAAAGAAATGAACATGCTATTACTGAGATGTGTGCTGCCTTATGGAAATAACAGTTAGCAGTGTTTGAGCTCTGTTGCAATTTTGTGGGGAACAGAGTAGCCTCTAGTATTCCCCATAATTAGTAATTTTCAGATTAGGCCTCATTCAGACCACTGTCAAAAATGCCACCTGACATCTCGCAATTTTTTGTGAATATGCTAATAATGCAGCATTTGCCTGAAAACTGAATGCACAGCCATTTTGATTAAATGTGGTTTGAACCTATATCAACTGCATGCCACTACAGTATCAAAAATATAAACCATTCCAGAATCGCTTCATCATTCCTCCCAAAGACAGGCCACTACGGTGCAAAGAATCCAATACTTGTATGGCCAGAAAACAACACACAGGGACAACACTTTCTGCACAGTGCACTCTTGAAGACACCGTTGCAAACGAGAACATTAATGATCAGTGGTCCAGGGATTGCTTAGATAATGGCTGAAATGAAAAAGATTACTTCGTTACTTCACCTTTCAGGAAGACTCCTCACTTTAAGTGTCTTCAACTGCAGGTTACAGAATCAGACTTCCACTTAATTTCTCCTGAGGTCTTGAACTAATTTTCTGCATTTCAATACCAAGGCACAATGCGCAAGCAACCCTTGGTCACAGTGAAACAGATGTGCATCCATCACTTATCTTTATAAGGAATATCCATGTTCAACTGAAAGGATGGAGAAATGTCTAGCCATATGATGGCAGGAAACACTGATACAGTGCCTGCAAAAAAACTATAAGAACCCCCCATAAACATCTTTTTCAAATCCCTATTTAAAAGGCAACTGTTTACCTACCTTTCTCATGGCAGTCTTCACTTTGAACCTAATACGTACATATGACATCCAAATGTAACTTCCATGGAAAAATAGTAGCATATAAATCTAAAATCCTGAGTCCTACACTTACTGGCAAAACCTTTTTATCTCCTTATTTAGTCTTCATATTAAGTAAACCATTTGGGGGTTTTCTCCTCTAGCACTTACATTCTCTTGAAAAAGTTCAGGGTGCATTCCTCGTACAAAATGTAGAGCAAACATTAGCTGATCAGCCTGAAATAAAAGCAGTAAAAAATGTATTTATATGTTCATGAAAAGTCACATTTCTGCTTTTTTTTATAAGTAATAAAATATCATTAATAAATTACCTCTAATTCCATAGCATTGACTTAATGACACATATCCTAATTCAAAATTGCTACACACCTCTGCAACTTAGAGACAAACACTAACCTGAACCCTGTATCTAGAGTACATCTGAATTCAGGTGAAGAAGAAAAAACAGGTACTTGTAATAAAGCAAACATATTAAATACAATCCATTATTTTTCAAACTGTGCATAGGAAATACTTGAAATCTTCTTACAACAAAATTTTGAAACAATTTAAAAAAACAACCGACTTTTTTCTGAGGTCTATTGCATCACTTGAATTTCAAACAGTGTCTGAGCACTGGAGCAATAAACTAGGAATGGGGACTTCCTAGAGCAATGGAATAAACCATGCAAACATTCAAAACAATACTTTTTAAGAGAATACTGGCTTGTTAAAACTGGAATTCCTATGTCCATATGCAGAAACTTTTATAGATGTGTTTTATGAAAGTTGTGCTGGAAAGCACGTCTATGTAATGAAGTCAACGTGAAAAACTGGAAGTTGGTACTCAGAAAAATCAGGAACACCCAGAAACCTAGATTAAGCCATCCAATTTTCAAAGTCTGTCTGTAATCTGGAAGATGTATTTTACAGACAATAGAATCATAGAATGGTTTGGGTTGGAAGGGACCTCAAAGATTGAGTTCCAACCCCCCTGCCATGGGCAGGGACACCTCCCACTAGACCAGGTTGCTCAAAGCCTCATTCAGCCTGGCCTTGAACACCTCCAGGGATGGGGCATCCACAGCTTCTATGGGCAACCTGTTTCAGTGCCTCACCACTCTCACAGAAAAAAATTTCTTCCTAATATCTAATCTAAATCTACCTTTTTTCAGCTTAAAACCGTTACCCCTCATCCTATCACTGCACTTCCTGATAAAGAGTGCCTCCCCAATGTTCAATCTTTTCTGATATCTAAAAAAAGCTGCCTTTCCATATGCAAAAGATGTGATGACTTATTGGAAGGCTTTGCATACTCATGACTTCAAACACAGACATTAAATTACCATGAGAATATTTCATGAGAATCCACTTGGACTTTGACAAATCAAAATGTTTAGAAATAACCTACCTCTAGGCTACCTCTGCCTCCTCAATATAGTGTTGCTAGGCTGGGAGGAGAGGCGAGGAGGTGTTATAAAATTTTCCAAGATCTCTCGATTCTCACGGATCAAACTCCAGACTTGCATGATTTTTACTACTACTCAAATCATCTATGCAGACCTACTATGCATTCTTCACCCTAGTACTATGAGACAAACCCCTCCTACTACGACTATTCCATGTGAAAGTAAAAATTGAAATAGAACATGAAAGGCATATCTATCCTAGGTTTTCACCAAGAAAGCAAGCAGAGAAAAGCCACCTTATTCAAATACAGAGCAAACAAGAAATACATTAAGAACATTATATGGAGGAATGCAGCAACAAACAAGCTAGCAGGTAGAGATTCGCAGGAGGATGTGAAAAGAAAAAGGATAATATTATAAATTTTTTTCAGTTTCCTTTATTTAAAAAAAAATAACAAGTAATCACACAAAACTTTATAATGACAGCTAGGTCAAACTCTCATACGCAGGAATCCTAGAAATAAGAGCGAACAGACTAAGAATGCTCAGAAGATTGCAAAGCCTGAGACTGGCTATGAAGCCAGAATAAGGCAGAGATGAGGAGCAGAGGTAAAGCAGAAATAGGACTAGACTGAGAATAGCCTTGTCCATTAGAAAACTGCTCTGTGGAGAAACGCACATAAGCAATCTTAATGCTGTTGTATCCTAATTTTTAGTCCTCCTCATTTCGCATGTTAAATATTGCAAGTGTAATTTTTGCATGTATTAAATATGCACTGACACAATACTGTTTTTGTATTTATTTAAAGTAGATCAACTGTTGGTTGCTGAAAGAACATTTTCAAAACCAGTGCACTGTATAAAAGCCAGAAGAAATAGAATCTTACCTTAAACAAACAACGACAAACATATTCATATACTGTATGTTTCAAGGAGCCAATAAGCGACTTGATTCTTTCCTCAGTATTACTTGAATCCTAAAAAGAAAGTTTGGATTTCAAATATTCACATGGAAGTAAAAATCTTTTTATGTACTCTGTAAATTTCAGCAGAACGACACAAATAATCTGGACTCTATTTGACACTTACTAGTTCTAAAAAGATATTCTGGAATTCAGCTGCAGCTATCAATGAGGAGATGATAAAATGAGCAGTTCATGCTAAAGCATTAAGAATCAATATTTTGGCCTTGAATATTTTGACTGTGAACATTATACAACATTATATATAAGGTAAATACATAGAGAATGAGATAACAGTTTCATCTCCTGACATTAATATCCTTGAAATCTCATAGTTTTCACTTAGTAAAATTTGCTTGTGTGTTGAATTACTATATTTAATGTTATTAAATGGGTTTGTTGACATTCAGTGTAGTTAGTAAAATTCCAGACAAATTTTGCTCAACTGAGGAGAACTGTAGAGAATTCATTGTAGAGAATTAATTGTAGAGAATAGTAAATATAACCTGTCCTCCAAAGCTTACAGACTAAAAGACTAATTATAACAGGAGAAAAGTGAAAGAAAGATAGGATAAAAGAAGAAAGAGGAAAAAAAAAAGAAAAGAAAACAAACAAAAAAAAAAAAAGGTGAGAGAGGTAACAGGTCGTATGAGACTTAACAGAAACAAGTTCCTTTCTACCACACTAGAATCTGAGGAGATGAGTTTATCTCAACTCATCAATTTGGATTTACAAGCTGATTTGACTAATACCTTTTCCATGTCTAAAAGATAGCTTGAAAAGAATTAAGAACTGGATAGAGAGGAAAAAAAAAAAGGAAGAAAGCAAAAAAGGCAGAAACAGAAGTTGAGCTTTAAATAGGTAACATACTAGTAAGGAAGAAAAGGAATTATGAAAGAATGTGAAAGTAAGAACAAGAAGTTAGAAGCTCATGTTGTGGAAGAGAAGTAATAGGTAAAACACTTTTAAGAGGGCAAGTTCACATAGCCTCCAGCCTTTATCACACTCCTGGTAAAGACTGGAGCTGAAGGAAAGTTGTAAGCACAGATGCCAGAATAAAGGGGAATTCAAAAGCAACATGATGAAAGGCTGGTGAATACCTTTTTAAAGTGGAAACAAGGAGAAATAAGATGAATTTTGGAGATGCTGAATGAAAAGAAAATGCATCGTTACTCAGTGTGGGTTTTTAGATCTAAAGAGTGAGGTGACAAGGGATAAATCCATAATTCTGTGCTTCAATAAGAACAATATACTGGCATTAGAACACAGAAAAGTAAAAATTACATTTGCAATGAGACAGGCTGCATGCATGCTTACAAATTGCATATAAGTAGATAAAGTTTTGATCTTCCTTCAGATAACTGAATCATGTAGAAATATAACTCTTTTCTTATTTTACCCCTTGTTGATAGAATTAGCCTTATTTGCAGATTAGATCATTAATTTATTTAAATAAAGCCTTCACTAAAGTTATAATCAATCTTGGTTTTCCAAATTCACCTTAGACAAAGTGCAAGCCGGAAATAACAAATAAGAGTTATTTGTTTTCAGATGGCACAATAATTTTATGATTTACATCTAATGTAAGATCATTAAAAATTCCATGTGCATGTATTCTAAATATCAAAAGCACAATAGTTCAGCATCACTACTTATTATATATTTCATCATCAGTTATCATCCATTATTTTCTAAAAATGTCCAGAGCAACTAAGAAATTCTAAGGATTAAAGCAAATTGATTCTTCTGCAGCATTAACAGCTTCAGGAAAAGAGAAAATACCTGCTCGCTTTGCAGAGCTTTTTGGAAAAGCCGCAGGAAAGCCGCCAAACTAAAACGGTACATATTATTAATTTTGGACAAGTCAGAGATAATAAAATACATCTTGCTAGCACTCTCAGCTAAAGGGAGATAGGCGTCCCTCTCCTGTGGATAAAAAAAAAAAAGCCCACACATATATGAAAAAAGTACATTACTGCCATCTACCGGTTATTGCATAAACATTCATTCATCCCATCAAAAAAAAAAATTCAGATGACTCCCACTGCTGCAGAAAACTGAATCCTTTCCGATTCTTCAAATTGAGAGACATGCACTCAAGACTTCAAAACCGTCTTTAGATTTCAAACTTGGAAGAAAGCATTTTTAGCAAGAAATTATTTAAATTATAAAGAATATTTTGGAAATTAATCCCTAGGGCACCAAGGCCTCTTCCAACCACAGAACACATGCCAAATTTCAACTGAAAATTTTAAACTAAACAAATAACAACAGAGAGGTAAACTCTGGAATGTGTTACAAAAACAGCATGCCAGATGAATAGCATCACCAATATTCTGAATTTTTGCAACAGCAAGGGATATACTAGGTAAGAACATCCATATGAGCCATACTGTTTGCAACAGCAGATGGCAAAAATAAAGTCAAAACCCACTACTTGCCAATAAGTCTTTGGGGAAAATTCCTTTAATTCTAACTGGCAGACTTTAAATTGTGTAGCTATTTACCACGTCTAAAACAAAGAAATTTAATTACTGAAAATACCTTCTGTACTTGCATATCCCAAATATCTTTTATTCCAAAAAATTAATTTAGTATGTTACTGATCTCATACTCCTGTGGATGTATATATCCTCTTTGTATCGAAGATGACTAGCTTTAGCAGGAAAAAAACTAGCAATAAAAGATTAGAAATACCCTCTTACCTTATCAAGGAAACTCTGAAGTCTGTGAGACTCAACAAGTGATTCTTGGATGAGTGCACTACTTGCTTTAGTCTGATTCAGAGATTCAATCAGATCCTTATTTTCTAGTATATTGCCTTGTGATGTTGCAAGCGTCTGTAAAAAAAGTCATCTGTGTTAAATTAAAAAACCCCTGTGTTCTGGCTTCAGGTAAAATAACCATTTTGGAAGCTGTCCTTCTTTCTGACCTGTACATATTTCTGAATCATTGAAGGCATCACGAGTACTACAAAGCAGACGGTTACTCCAAAAACTGTGATGTTGTTTTAAAGAAGCATGGAAAAAAACAAAACAAAACAAAACAAAACAAAACAAATCGCCAAATAAACAGATTACCAGGTTCTGAAACTTAAGTCGTCAGCAAGCTTTTGAGAATGATTTCTACCATCAGAGTCTTACGCACTAATATCCCCACAGTAAATACAAATTAGGTGGTTTTTTCTGCTATTTAAGTACCAATTTGACCTGAAACTAGCTACTTGTAACGACTTCCTGTACCCAATCATTCATAAATTCATTTTCCTTCAAAAACATTCCAATATCCCCTTATAAAATTTAGTTCTCATTTCCAACTGAGATGAATATCACAACTACAAAAATTTCAGTTTTGTAAGCAGACATCCCTTCAAAATCCTTGAGATTACCCCACATTTTCCCCGAGTTCATAGTATCATAGAAAGGTTAAGTTTGGAAGGGACCTCAAAGATGGAGTTCCAACCCCCCTGCCATGGGCAGGGACACCCTCCACTACACCGGGTTGCTCAAAGCCTCATTCAGCCTGGCCTTGAACACCTCCAGGGATGGGGCATCCACAACTTCCCTGGGCAACCTCTTCCAGTGCCTCACCACCCTAACAGAAAAAAATTTCTTCCTAATATCTCATCTCAATCTACAGTCTTTCAGCTTAAAACCATTACCCGTTGTCCTATCACTACACTCCCTGATAAAGAGTGCCTCCCCATCTCTCCTGTAACCCCCTTTCAGTACTGGAAGGTGCTCTAAGGTCTCGCTGGAGCCACACAATTTCCTTTCTTGTAAGAAGTGGGAAAAGCTTGAATGATTCACTATTATTTAAGGTTTTTTACTAACCTTCAGTAAATACACTTCAATACAATTTTTTAGTCAGACAACAACACAAAATTGGCTTCTTGTCAGTTAAGTCAGTTCTGAACGACCACCTGTAGGACAGCATTTCAGGATACTTGGAGGCAGAGATGTACCAGTTAGAATAGTAGAATGCACTTAGTTCTCTAGTTGAAAAGAGTCTAGGACAACATCATCAGTGTTTTCAAGGAATTTGATATTGCTCTGAGGAATCATAGTGTGAGCTATGAGATAGCCACAGTATATATGTCTTTATTCCAAGGCTTTCAGAAGAAAACCAGTACAGTACCTCAGATAGAATGCTAACATAATTGCTTTGGGATTAACGAATTTAGCTAGATCACCTCCAACACCAATTTATTTGTTGACAAAGTCCATGTCACACCTCGGTTTCTACTGAGCTTTAAGCTTCTTTCTACATGGTCAAAGAGTATTCTGATTTCAGTGCTATCAAGAATGCCAAAGTTGAAACCAACCTTGGAGTTAATACCTGGACAGTTTTTGGTGCAGATCTCTTGCAGATCAAATAAAAAATTCTGAGGGCTCATTATGCCAACACCTTCACCATCTTCATTCAAAGACATAATAATATGAACACCATCTTACTGATTTAAGAGATATAAAAGAAGTAAATTTATTTTACCTCTAAAAGAGATTCCTCAAGCTTAGCTAACTGCATTTTCTTATCTTCTTCTTGTCGTAACAGTTTTGTCTTCTGCTCTTCCAAATCAGGCTTTTCATGCTGAATTGTTAAAGCCAAAAGCTAAAAAGAAAGAAGATTATTCAACAGGATAAAAAAAGCACTCTAATATTTCACAATATTTCACATTAATTATATCGCATAATATATACTCATCAATCATGTAGCAATATATAGTCGATATCTTTGAAAGCAGACATCTGAGAGTTTACTCAGTTGCACCAGACATCCAACAGCTTTAAATATATGTAGACATCCAGGACATTCTACAGTGGCAAGTATAAGTCAGGAATTACTGTGAACCATGCCCTTGTGTACAACAGCAGTTGCAAGCCAAGTGAGATACTCAAGTGCATCTCAAAAGCCACTGGATCATTTTAATAAGGACACAGATTCACACCCTTTTATGCTGAGACCTAAACCTCTGCACCTCAAGCTGAATCACATCTGTGTTTAAATGACTGGCAGACTTCATTAGTGTATAACTGTTATCAGACACAAAAGAAGTAGGTGATAGAAAGCACAATCTGGAAAGAATGGCAGCGAATCTATTTCCAGCAAGTTTACCAAGAGACAAACCCCGCTCCTGTCAACAAAGAAGGAAAACAAAAAAAAAAAAAAACAGGTTGGTTTTTTTTCTGTATTTCTACTTAACAAGGGGGTCAATTCACTTGGTTACACTGTATGATGTTGATTTCCTATCTCCAGGGGAGGGAGGAAATCCATACAGTTATCCATGCTTCACATTGTGAATAATATCTTACTTATCAATATCTTATTTACATCCCTTTCTAAGTCCCCTATTAGTTTGGAAAGACTTGTTTCATACCAAATAGAGGGTTTTTTCTTCCTTTAATTTATCTATTTTCTTTTTTTTCGTTCTTCCATCTGTATACTACATTTTGCTTCCTAAACGTTATAGAAAAAAAACTCAAAAGCGACTAGTATTTTGGAGGAAGTAAAATACACAGCTTTTTTGTTCCATTATGTTTTTCCTGTACACACAGTATCTTGATGTTAGCATTACTCTCTAGACACTGGAGAGTAATAACAGAAATGTTTCCACATTACTATAATCTCATCTTGAAGGGAAAACAGAAGCTTAGCAACTGATCTGTTGCAAGTGAAGTCAATGAGACAGTGTCCATTTTCTCTATTGGACTCCCTGCTTGGTTCCAAAATGCATAAAAACAATATTTAAAAATTTGAATTTAGTTTCAGTGCTAATTTTTATTTCTGTGCTAGAAATCACCTCTGTGACCATTAATGCAAACTGCACCATAGGGTTTCTTCCAGAAGCTGGGTGTAGCTATGAATGTCTGCTACACACATCTTGTTTTTATTCTACATGCCTACCTGTCCTCTTAAGCCACCTCCTGTTGTGGTAAAATTTACTTCTGTAACAATAGAAGAAGCATCAGGTGGAATGAAGGGATTTGGGTTCCTTGTCGACAGAAAAAGACGGAACTCTTCATTATAATCTATCATTTTTTCACCTATTTGTATAGTGTAACGGGGTCCTGTAAATAATAAATAGATGTTATACTCACTGTGACTGGAACATTCTAGAATTATCTGAAAATAAAGATATTTGTGTAACACTTTGTGACCAATAGATGCAAATACACTTTATAAAATGTATTTACAATTTGTTCAGAAAGAAAAATAGATTTAAAATACTTAAGGAATATAACCTATCCTGCATTGATAGACAAAAAAATGCAATAACATAGCACTAGTGTGAGAAAGTTACATAGTGAGAATATTTAATACACCAGAGTAGTTTAATTATCCTTACCCAGTACAAAAAGCATAAATGGCAAAAAATGTGCTTGAAGAAAAAGTAATACTAATGAATCTTTAAAATCTTCAAACAATGAATAGCAAACAAAACACCACAGAAGATACACTGGAGAATCCCCCTTTTGTGTAAGAACTCTGTCGTAATTTAAACATATTCATTTACATTTTTACATAGGTATACCATTCTATCAAAACACACTAGCCATAATTACATACTGTCTAAGATGGTTCAACATCTTCTGAATGCAATCCAAAACCATCAGATTTAGTCCCTGGATCTGTTACATTTATTTGTAGAAGGTTGATGTTGCTGTACAATCACAATTCTATTAAAATATTACTTTCTATAATATTTGTTACAGAGAAAGTCTATTAAACTAAAGATGCTGGAATATCTAGTCATTAGATTGAAAGAAAAATATTCCACTAAGAAATATCACATAAATTTGTCCGATTATAAATACATTTAATTCAATCCAATCACAGTATGAAACAAACAATAAACTTATTAAATTAATAAT